CCCCCTCTCTCCCTCTCTCTCCCCCTCTCTCTCCCCCTCTCTCTCCCCCTCTCTCTCCCCCTCTCTCTCCCCCCTCTCTCTTCCCCCTCTCCTTCCCCCTCTCCTTCCCCCTCTCCTTCCCCCTCTCCTTCCCCCTCCTTCCCCTCTCCTTCCCCTCTCCTTCCCCCTCTCCTTCCCCCTTTGTCTCTCTCTTTCCTTCTCTGTCTCTCTGTCTGTCTGCCTCTGTCTCTCTCTCTCATCCTGTCTCTTCATCTGCATACCTAACATTTCCACTTGGGTATTCCATAGGCATCTCAAATTCAACATGTGCAAAACAGAACACATTCTCTTTCCCCTTAAACTCATCATTCCTTTCATTTTCTTGTTTCTGTCAAAGACACTGTCACTCATCCAGTCATCACAGCTTTGCACGCCTGGAATATTCTCCCTCTTTATCCTTACCTCTTGGAAGTGCTGGCTCCCTTAAAGGTTTAGCTCAAAGGTCACTTCCTTTAAGAGGCCTTTCCTAATTTTGCCCATTAGTGCCCCCTATTACTGTGTATCTAGTTTGTATAGGTCTTGTATTTACCTATCTGTGACCATGTCTCCATATAGTTTCTACATTCTACATGGTAGAATATAAGCCCCTTGATGACACTGACTGGCTTATTTATGTCTTTCTGTTCCTAGAGCATAGCATAGTGCATGGTTCCTATTGTTGTTCAGTCATTTTTCAGTCGTGTCCGACTCTTCCTGACCCCATTTGGGGTTTTCTTGGCAGAGATACTGGAGTGGTTTGCCATTTTCTTCCCCAGTTCATTTTACAGATGAAGAAATGGAGGCAAATATGGTTAAGTAACTTGCCCAGGATCATTCAACTAGTAAGTGTCTGAGGCCAGATCTGAACTTGGGAAGATTCATCTTCCTGACTCCAGGCCTGCTGCTCTATCCTCTGTGCCACCTAGCTGCCTCTGGTTCCTAGAGGGAGCTTAATAAATGCCTGGTTGATTGATCTCACTGATGTAGATACTCTCTCCAACAATACAAATTATCGCCCATCCCTGTCTGCCCATTCTGTGAGTGTCTTGTCTGGGTTCTCCCAGAAATCCTCCACTTGGAGGTCCATTCACCATACTTAGGGACCTTCCTCTAGAACTTCTTTAATATTACACAGATGTGGGTGGGCCATTGTATATATCTTGTTTTGCTGTGTGCTGTGTTCTTGCCCATTGTGCATATCTTGTATGTCATGAGCACTCTATCTTTTTCCAGTCGTACATTTCCCTGATAATATCCTTTATGCTTTTGTACAATTCTTTTTTTTTTAACTAGACCTGTGATATTGCTACAGAGAACTCTTGCTTAAGGAACCTCCCTCTCCCAATGTGCTTTCTCTGCTATTTAAAGATTTGACTAGGATGTTGAGGGGTTAAATAACTTGATGAGGATCAACAGCTGGTCTTGAACCCAGGTCTTCTTGTCTACCATGCCAGTTCTTTAATCAAAATACCACGCAGTCTTTCTTTACAACTTTTTACTGGACATGTGCTACTGCTACTCACCCCCATTTTATAGCTCCTCTTTCACCCTGGGGTGACCTGCAGCTTTAATTCTAGAGAAGAATCAATGAGCTGCAGCCATACAATATCACATGGTCACACATATTATCATATGTGTAATGTAAAAATTTCTGTATAACTTTAAAAAAGAGGAAATATCCCAGTGATATCAACTCTGAGTAGAAGATATTAAGGTTGATTCATTCAAATAACACATTCTTTTCCTTCAAGTAGCTGTCAATGTAATTTCAAATAGTTCAAATTTCTTAACCCATGAATGGATGAATGAAGTACTTACTGTGCACAAAGCACCATGCTAAGTGACAGGAAAATAAACCCATGGAAGTAGAAGGTGAACAGGAGTTCTAGGAAATAAATTAAATTAGAATCGGAGTCAAGTTCATGGATGACCTCTCACTTTTCATGAGCTATAGAGTGGGTGGACATCAAAGAACAATTGTAGGGGCAGCTAGGTGGCACATGGATAGAGCACCAACCCTGGAGTCAGGAGGACCTGGGTTCAAATCCCTCCTCAGACATTTGACACTTAATAGCTGTGTGACCCTGGGCAAGTCACTTAACTCCAATTGCCTCGCCAAAAAAAAAAAAGAAGAAGAAGAAAAAGAAAGGACAGTTGGAAAGAATTTGAAGCCACACAGCAGGTCCAAAAAGGATCAAAAAGCAACAGAATAAAGGCAGTCACACAAAGATCAGTAGAACAAGCAGTACTTCATGGTGGGCAATTCATGGTTTATAATAGTCTCTCCTTTATCCTCAGCACTTAACACAGTACCTGGCCCATAGTTGTTTCAGTCATGTCCAACTCTTCATGACCCCATTTGGAGTTTTCCTGGCAAAGGATATTAGAGTGGTTTGTCATTTCCTTCTCCAACTCATTTTGCAGATGAGGAAACTGAGGCAAACAGGGTTAAGTGACTTGCCCAGCGTCATAGCTAATAAGTATCTGAGGATATTGACAGATACTTGTTGACTTGATTTTACTAGATAGCCTGATATAGGGGACAGGACATTGGGTTTGGCATCAGGGGACCTGAGTTTAAATGCTGGCTCTATCACTTTCTAGGTGTGGGACCTTGAGAAAGTCACTCAACTTTGCTGACCTCAGTTTTCCTGCCTGTGAAATTATGTGTTTGTGGTCTATGATATCCCAGATCCTTTTCAATTTTAAATACTAGAACCTATAATTCTACCCTAAAATCACCACACCTAAATGAGCCGTGAGATGCACAAAGGTGGGTGGGAACCTAATCCTAAATGAATGCTTTGTTCATTAAGTAAAGTTCTAGTGGTTACACCCAAGGGACTTCAATTGTTCATTGTGTGGACTATTAGAATCATGCTGTCTTGGGTCTTTTCTCATAGAGTTCTTGTTCTAAGTGATGTTTGCTTTAGAAGGGACCTGTTTGCAAGCAGGATGCAACTGCTACCTTGTCACATCAGCTGTGGTGAATTGAGCTAGAAGTGGTTGGGCTATTCTTAAAGACAGAATGGAACAATCACATCAACAACGATAGTCAGAATGCCATTTGAAAATGCAGTGCCTTAATGAGAAGCAAGTTAGCATAGCAACCCCATGTGTCTGGAAGACCAGACTCGAAGTTCCACCTCTGATACATACTGCTGTATAAACCTGGGCAAATCATTTAATCTCCCAGTGCCCCTAAGACAACTCTCTAAAATGATGAATTGCAGAGAAAAGAATTTCCTCACTAGAAATTTCTTATACCAATGCAATCTGAAGTCTACTTTTTAAAAAGTAAAATATGTACATATATATATGTATGTGTATATATGTATATATGTGTGTGTATATGTGTGTGTATATATGTGTGTGTGTGTGTGTGTGTGTATACAAAAACCAGGCAGGTATTCAATCCAACTAATATTTCTTCCCTGACCATAGTTGCCTGCTGGTCTAAAAGGAATATAAATTTAGAGTTTCTCACCAGTCCCCAAAAGAATTTTCTCCATTACACAGCATGCCAAAATAGATGGAATTAGTTTTTTTCTGTGTTTCACATAATCTATTCAATTCAACAACTGTCTATTAAGTGCCTACTATGGGCAAAACACAACTCTAGTACTGAAATCTCCTTTGTGTAGACTTTGTTGCACCAAATTCCTAATTCTTGGCTAGTAGCTCTTTTTTTTTAAATTTTATACTCTCAAATGAAAAAATAAAACCATTTGCCTCACAGACTTATAGAAAAACACAGTTAGGTGGATTTAAAACAGGCTCAATGATCAGACCCCAAAAGTAGTAATTCACAATGGATCGATGACAGAGAAGCTCTCTTCAGGGGATCTGTCCTTGGTCCTGTGCTCTTCAATATTTTTATCAGGGGCCTGGATGAAGCAATCAGTCTGGAAGTATTTATATTTACCATGAGCCACGCAAAAGCAGTTTTGCACAGAGGATAGAGAGCTGGCCTCAAAGCCAGGAATACCAGGATTCAAGTCTCACTTCTGACACGTAAGAGCTCTGCGTGCATGTGTGCATCGGTTGTCATCCTTCGTGCTTGGAGAGAACCAAAATGACATCACTGTGTTGGAGTCAGGGGGCAGTGTATCCCACAAAATGACATCACTGTGTTGGAGTCAGGGGGCAGTGTATCCCACTGTGGTTGATCAGACCAACATGAGCTGAAAAGGCTGTACCACAGGTAAGGTACAAATAGTCCACATCAGCATTTGGAGTGGAGATGTCTCTAAATTTGTGCAGCTCACATTTCTTTTGAGCTACTGCAATTTCTGCTTTGCTCATAGAGCACAGCACCTTCTTTGATACAGACCTGCCATGTTGGGCAGTCCTGTGCCAGGGTCTCCCAGGTCACACAGTTGATTCCAATGTAAAATGATCCTTTCCCTCAAGGAGCTTACATTCTATCAGGAGAGACAAAGGGAGGAATAGAGTGAATGCTGGAAGTGACAGCTAACAGAGATGACAGTCATCCAGAAAGAGAGGTACAAAGTGTTATGCTCACTTCCAGCTGGGCAATGAGAGCAGAGCAAGGAGATAGCATTTGAACTGAGCCCTGGGAGATGGGTGAGAACTAGACAGGCAGAGTTAGAAGGAAAGGGCATTCCAGCAACCTTCCTGAGGGCAGGGACTCAAAAGACTCAGAGTAAGTGCCAATATGTTCTGCTAGAAAGAGTTTCCTCACAGGAGTTCTCTATACTGATGCAATCACAGGGTTGGTCTCTGGGCAAGAGGGGACAGGGGAGTTCAAATAAGCAGAGAACAGCAGAGAATAAGGGAACAAAGATAAGACAAGCAATTTATATCACGGGGAAATTGGGAGGGGGGCAGGATACAGCATTTTAAGTGAGAATTTCCATCTTTTCTTTACCTCCTTTCAAAGTTCTTAGATCCTTCAAATGTTTCTGCCCATTTCACAGCCTACAATGTGACCCGTTCTCCCCTTCTGGTTTCCCTTGCAGATATTTGGAGGGTTGGTCTGGATCCTCGTGGCCTCTTCCAAAGTACCAGACCCACAATCTCAGGGCTGGGTCATGTTTGTGTCAGTGTTCTGCTTCGTGGCCACAACCATCTTGTTCTTCCTTTACTTTATTGGAGCTCACGGTGGAGATGCTTCCTGGATATCCTTGGTGAGTCAAATTCCTTTTCTACTTGCACATACGTTCATATTGTTGCTGGAGGGAGGCTGCCAGTGGACATCGTCTTTTAGGGAAGCTTGCCTTCCTGGGGTACTTGGTTGACTGACTCTACCACTGCTTAAATTTCTCAAGGATCTATGGCTCTGTTAGGCTGAGTACTCCCAATACTAGAGCATAGGAGCATTGGAAGGGACCTTGAAGATAATGTGGTCCAGGGGTTCATAATCTAGGATGACGAATTTGTTTGCAAATATTTTTATAACTATATTTCAATATGGTGGGTTTCTTTTTGTAATCCTATGCATTTTATTTTATGCATTTAAAAAGCATGATTCAGAAAAGTGTTCCATAGGTCTCACAAGACTGTTAAAGAGACTGTGACACCAAAAAGGTTAAAAGTCCCAGATCTTGGAGTTGGATTCCCTTATTTTACAGTCCAGAGAAGTGAAGTGACTTGGTCATGGTTATGTAGGATGTCAACAGCAGAGCCAGTGTTCAAGGCCAAGTCATCTGACTTTAAGTCCTGTGTTCTTTTCTACTACCCTATACCACAAATCGATCAAGAAGTATTTATTAAATGCCTACTATGTACTAGGCTAACAAAGGTTAGACAGTTCCTGCTCTCAAGGTGCTTACATCTATCTGAGAAGACAATCTTTTTGCAGCTTCATACGTTGTCTTTGAGACATGGCTGTGACTGAAAATTTCCTCCAAATTTGGTTCAGTAAGTTCTCACATGATGGGTCAATATATGATCTGTCAGTATATTACTGATGCTCAAAACACTTCCAGTTGAGTGAGAACTCATCACAGTTTGTGTACCACTGGGCCAGCCACCAAAAAACCCAGAGAAACACCAACATGAAACATCACAAGGGAACCTTGGGTGGAGAAACATCACATGTAGTTGTTCTGAATCATTAAACCATAGAGATTCTATCTGGCCCTGTTAATATTTACCTCTTTAGACTCCTTCTAACTTACTTTGCCTCTTTTTGATTCTGCCACATATAACTAAGATAATACTTTTAGAGGGCTTTCCTAACTACACAAATTATGATTAATTTAAAGCAAAATAAGGAAAAGAATATTGCCTCTCAGCCTCAGTTTTCTCATCTTTTAGATGGGGATAATATTATCTTCCCTACCCTCACTGGGTGATCATGAGTCTCAAAAGAGAGGGGGAAAGGGGCAACTAGGTGGCTCAGTAGATAGAGCACCTGCCCTAAAGTCAGGAGGACCTGAGTTCAAATGTGGCCTCAGACCAAACATTTGATACTTACTAGCTGTGTGACCCTGGGCAAGTCACTTAACCCCAATTGCCTAAAAAGGGGGGGGGGAATCCACTACTGTAAAGCAATGAGCATACAGTATTGTTGTTTCCATTGTGTCTAATCCTGCTATCTTGAACCCCAGGCACTAAGCCAATGCTTGTCTTACAAGATTCTCTGTGCTGCAGATGACAGCCTCTACCTTGTACCCTGGCAAGCACACTTCAGTAGAAATGCACCAGGGTAGTCATAGGACCCAAGTTCTAATCTTGACTCTGCCACTTATTACCTGTGTGACCTTGAGCAAGTGACTTAACTTCTCTGGGACTCTTTCTTTAAAATGAGGAGGATGACCTCACACCCAGCCAATCTGCAAAGATGACCAAAAATGAGCTGATATTGGAAGGGTTGTGTAGAGACAGGCATACTAATACATTGTTGGTGGAGCTATGAATTGGTAATCATTCTGATAAGCAATTTGGAATTATGCAAAGGGAGTGACTAGAGAGTGACCAGAGATTCCACTGCTAGGCACAGACCCCAAGGAGGTCTTTGACCAAAAGAAAACTTCCTAGACAAAGTAAATGCTCATCAGTGGAAAATAGCTAAATAAATTGTGGTGCATGAACTGTATTACTATTATTATTAATTATTATTACCAATATTACTGTGCTATAAGAAACAATAAATATAAGGATAGACCCACTTAGAAAGATTTACCTGAACTGATGCAAAATAAAAACAAAGTACGAGATGACTACAACAATATAAATGGAAAGAATCACCAAAAAAAAGCTGAAGACGAATGTTCCAAAATTGAAAAGGCCATGCTTGGCCCCAAGAAAAGACAAGAGGCTCTGTTCCTTTGCAGAGGTGGAGGTCAAGAGAGTGTGGAACTTTGCTTATAATGTCAGGCTTGGGTTTTTTTTTTTTGATGTGTTGATTGTTTGCTGAAACATTTTCTCTTTAAAAAAAATTATTTGGTATAAGGCATAACTCTTATAGCTCTCCTCATAGAGAGGAGAGAATATGGAAGAAATAAATGTGTTATATAAAAAAAGATATTAATAAAAAGTCTATTTTTTAAAATAAGGAAGTTGGACTCAATGGTCTCTGAGGTCCCTTGCAGACAGAGATTGTGATCCTGTGAATGTCGCATTACTGCATATGCCATTAAAGGTTCTCTGCCTCCAAGGGTTTACGGTGGTTGAGGAAGGTTCCTGAGGGGAGGCTGAGAAGTTTCTAGGGGCAGCTCTGTCTTCTAGGGTTGTCTGTATTTGGCCAATGGGAAATGATGGGAAAAGGGAGATACTCCAGTATCATTTGGCTTGATTTTATCTCTTCCCAACAGTAGAGAAAGCCACACTTAACTGCCTTTCAAACCGAGGCCAAGTTCTTGACCTAGATACAGGGTTTCTTCTTAACCTTTCTGGTTCTGTGGTCCCCCTCTGGCAGTCTGGTAAAGCCTATGGGATCCTGTCTCAGAATACTGTTTTAAATGAATAAAATAAAATACACAAGATAACTGTATTTCAATGTGATTTGTTTATTTTGTTATCAAAATATTAAAAAACTTATTTCATGAGCTTCCAGATTAAAACAAAAAACTCTTCGTCTAGATGCAGAGGTTCCCTAACTTATCTGGCTTACTGCCTCATTTTTTAAAAAAATTGCTCAGTGCCCCCTGGAAAAATCTACTTTCTTTAGCCCTTTAATGTTTTTTGTTTTTTTAATTTACTTCATTTCAAACTACTACCCCATCCTGGATCATTTCAGCGCCCACCTTGGGGGCAGTACCTCCTGCTTTGGGAACCTATGGATATCATACTCATCTATGTTATATTGCATTTTTATTTACTTTGTTAAATATTTCCCAATTATATTTTAATCTGTTTCCTGCCCCACTGAGGAATTTTGAGTGAGGTTTGGCGGGGGGGGGGGTGACTCATCACTAGAAGGCTGGCTCCCATGTGATTGGGCTTTCTTTCAGCTAGGGTATGCTAGGTGGGCACAGTGGATAGAGCAGGAATCAGGAAGATCTGAGTTTAAATCCAGTCTCAGACACCTACTAGTTGTGTGACCCTGAGAAAGTCATTTAACCCCTATTTGCCTCAGTTTCTCAACTGTAAAATGGGGACACACTGGAGAGGGAAATGGCAAACCACTCCAATATCTTTGTCAAAAACAAACCAACTGTGGACTTGGGTCATCAACAACAGTATTCACAAATATAGTCTATGAAGGCCTAGAAGAGTTGCAATTACTCTCCAAAGAGGTAACCTGCCAGTGAAGTCACAGGTCCTTGAAGGTTTGATGGAAGTAATTTCTTTTGAATGGCTTGGCTGCTTTCAGTGGTTCCCAAAGTGGGTGATAGCTCCCCCTGGAGGGGAGGGACATGGTAGCAGCCTCGGGTACAACTGGGGGGCATTGAATAAAAATAATGGGGTAATGGAGACATAAGGAAAAAAGAGAAGATAAAATTTTGAAAAATCACTTGTACATGTTTCATCTGTTGTGTAACAGAGTTAAAGTCATAGTGATTACAATATTTTCCAAATAAACACACAAAATGCAAGTTACAACCAAGTAATGGTCAAGTCCGCTGACAGATCTTAACAAGCAAGTGTTGGCAGGCAAGCATGTCAAACACATCATCGGGAAGTCCAACGTGCATTGGCAGGAATATGTGCATGTAATGACTTATTTACAGCATGATACTATATGCTTCCATGACACAATATTTATCATCAAAATTTCCATGCAGGGAAAAACCCACAAATTTACAATAAAATGTTAAATTTAAGATGCATGATTTTTTAAAATACATATTTTATGGGTTTTTTTAAGTTATGCAAATTTTTAAAAACCGTTAAAGGGTTAAAGAAAGTAGATTTCCAGGAGAGCACTGAGTAACTTTTTTTTTAAAGGTGGCCAAATAAGTATGGGAACCTCTGCTTTATGAGGTCTTTGTGCTTTTTGCTTCCTCCCACTGACTGGTTCCTTTCTGCGACCTTCCAGGATGTGTCCTATCACTCAACTGCTGCTCTATTTTACCTGAGTGCTTCTGTCCTCGAAGCCTATGCCACAATTGAGTTAAAGAGAAAACTTAACGGAAATAATGAAACCTTTAGATATTACCAAGAAAACATCTCTGCAGTGGTAAGTTCATTCATGCAACAAGCATTTCTTTAGTGCCTAATATGTTCAAGATGCTAGGCTCCAGGTGATACAATGACACAGCCCCACCGCAAAAAAATAAAAAACTCTACCCTCAAGGAGTTTACATTCTACTAGGGGAAACAAGAACATAGGAAGTAAATACAAAGTAATTTAATTTTATGGTGGTAGAGGATCCTAGCAACTGGGGGAGCGAGAAAAGCCCAATGAATATGGCACCTGAACAGAGTCTGGAGGAAGCTAGAGATTCTACAAGGTGGTATTGATGGCCAGAATGCAGTCCACAGATGGAGGACAGCTGAAGTAAAAGCACAAGACTGGAGGTGAAATGCAGTATATAGGGAACAGCAAGTAGGCTAATTTGACTGGAACTTAGAACGTGGGAAGGAGGTTAGGTATACAACAATACTAGGAAGGTAGGAAAAGAGAAGGGATGGTGTTGCATAGTAGAGAGAGTGCTAAGTGTGGTGTCCTGGAGGCCTACGTTCAGATCTTACCTCGGATCCATCAGGTATGTGACCTTGAGTCCTCTGATTTTAAATTCACTGTTTTTTTTGGAGTAGGAGACCTTTTAGAAAAGGTCAAGATATTAAAGACAAATGATACTGGAGCCCTGGTCTGTGCTGCATATCTTCCCTCCATTGCCTTCATAACAACTAGATAGAAAAAGACGAGTGTCACAGTGAGGGACTAAAATGTCCAGGCAATGACTTCTCTGGGAACTGGGTCTTTTGACGAGACCCTAAGAAAGTCCATGGCCCCCACTTGACAACAGGTTATTGAGCTATTACTGTGTATGTAATAAGGCATGGTATGGTAATGTAATAATGGTATAGTAAATTGGATTAGAGTCAGAAAGATGTGGGTTCAAGTCTTATCTCTGGTGTAAACTTTCCTAGCAAATTATGACCCCCCCCAAAAAAAGGAAATATAGAGAAGAATAATGACCCTCAGCCTCATCTGTTAAATGGCGGAAATAATATCTTCCCAACCTTCCCCACCCCCTGTGTTTATGGGTCTTAAAAGAGAGAAAACAATGCTTTGTTGACTAATCTATGAGCGTGAAATATTGTTATCATTGTAACACAATCATTTCAAAAAGTCTTAACCATTCAGGAAGCCAGTCAACTCACAAAAGCTATAAATTGCAGGCGTTACCAATCTGCATTGGGAAAGGGAAGCTACTTGCTGGGAGATCTATGTACATAGAGCTTGATAATGATTTTTCATTCATACATCAATAAAATCACAAGTAGCCCAACCCCACCCTGCCCTCCATCCCTCAAAGTATGTGAGGCAAATAGATTAGAGTTCAGGACATCTATCTGCAGAAAAAATTACCATGCATTATATATAGAAAGGCCTCTGTGTACTGTTGGCACTGGGAGATGGATTATCTGCAAAAATCCTCTAGAATCATAGATTTTAGGATTGGAATAATAATAATTGCCCGAGTGTATACAACACTTTACAATTTAGGGCCGGATTTTTTTTTGGTTTTGTTTTTGTTTTTATTGATGCCTCTTTGTTTTTATGCCAGTCATTTCTTGATATATAATCCCCCTCTTATTGAACCCTATATTGTAGCAAAGAAAAACCAGTTAAGCAAAAACCAACCCACTTGCAACATTCAGTACCCCTCATGCCCAATCTCTCTAATTAGAAGAGGGAGGTAGCATTTTATCATTCAGAAGTCACTGTCTTCATGACAACACTGTGAGGTAAGAATAGCAAGTATTGTCTCATTTTACAGATGAAGAAACTGTAGCTGCAAGAGATATGAGCCACTCACGCAGTGAATAAGCATCAAAAGCAGAATAAAAATCCAGGTCTCTTGCCCTTTCCACAGCAACACATCTGAGTTCAAATCCAACCTCAGATACTGACTGGCCTGTGTGACCCTGGGCAAGTCACTTCATCCTGTTTGCCTCAGTTTCCTCATCTGTCAAATGAGCCAAATAAGTTTGGGAACCTCTGGGCTAGCATCTAATGGATTCAAGAGAAGCCTTATGTGTAGAGGGTAGCATTTGAGCTGTACCTTGAAGAAAGCTAGGCATTCGAATGGGGTGTCTAGGTGATACAGTGCATAGAGTACATAGAGAATCGGAAGATCTGGGTTCAAATTTGGCCTCAGACACTAACCGTGTGACCCTGGGCAAGTCACTTAACCGTGTTTATCTCAGTTTCCTCACCTGTCAAATGAGCTGGAGAAGGAAATGGCAAACCACTCCAGTATTTCTGCTAAGAAAACCCCAAATGGGGTCACAAAGAGTCGAACATGACTAAAAAGCAACTGAGAGATTTGAGATAATCTCATCCAGTCCCTGCCTTTGGACAGGTAAAACAATACCCCATCTTTACAAATGAGGCCCAGAAGATTAATACCCAAGGTACCCAAGGCCATACAGTCAGCAAATCGTGAAAGGTGTGAGTAGAGCTCAAGTGTTCTGCCTTTTCTGTTATTCCAACCACATCTCTGCCTTCTACCCAGACGCTTCAAATATATAGACAGCTGAGTGGTGTAAGGGCTAGAGATCTCTGGACCTGGAGAAAGAGAAACCTGGGTTCAGATTCTGCCTCAGATACTTACTAATTGTGTGATCCTGTTCAAGTCACTTGGCTGCTATCTGCCTCAGTTTCCTCAACTACAAAATAGTGATACTAATAGCACCTATCTCCCAAGATTATTGTGAGGATTAAAAGAGATAATATTTGGAAAGTGTTTTATAAATCTTAAAACTCTATGTAAATGTTGGCTATTATTATAGATAGAAAGCACCAAGTTCTCTTCAGTGATTTGGTAGAACTAGCACGACTAGATGGTGAATGGCTCCATGGGATCTAGATCTGGAATGGATCTTAGAGATCACTTGGTCTAACTCAGGGGTGGGGACCTGCGGCCTTAAGGCCAAGTGTAGTCTTCTAGGTTTTTAAGTTTGGCCTTTTGACGGCGTCTTTGTTTTAATGCCAGTCATTTCTTTTTCTTTCTTTTTTTTTTTTTTGACAGTCAAAAGGCCGCACTTTAGGACCTAGAAGGCCATACTTGGCCTTAAGGTCTCAGGTTCCCCACTCCCTGTCTAACTCTGTGTTTAAAATGGTGCAATTTAGGCCTACCTGAGATTAAATGGTTAGCCCAAGTAGTAGTAAATACCAGAGCCAAAATTCAAACTCAGCTGCTCTCATTCAAAATCCAACGTTCTTTCCAGTAGGCCTTTCTGGGCCCATTCTTTTGGCTGACAAACCTGACTTCCATGTGACTTGGCCTAATCTAAAAAATAACCTGGCAGTAGAACCCCCAAACTCCTGACTTTGTACCCCAGGCCAAATTAATGAGACAAGGATATATGACAGCAGAGTGGGATAAGGATACCATTTTTCACTTGGAATCAGAATCCTGGGTTTGAGTTCTTCTGCCTTAATCTTTTTTGTGTCATGGACCCCTGTAACAGTTTGAAGCCTATGGACTCCTCATAAATGCATAAGATACATAGAGGTACAAAGGAAACCAAAGGTTAGTGAAAATAAAGATGTAGTTGTTTTCCCTTCCAAAATTCACAGGCCCCTCAGATGAAGAACCCCTGAATCAAGGAGTGAAAGGAACCCCACTGCCTCCTGAGACAGCCCGTTCTACATTCTGATGGCACTCATTATTAGGAAGTTTTCCCTCATATCAAGCAAACTAGCCTATCCTACAATTTCCACCCATTCGCTGCTCCTATTGCACCCTCTGAGAACAAGCAAAACATGTCTAATCGGGGCCCCTTCCATACAACAGCCTTCAAATATTTGATCTTTGCTTTCCTATTCACCTAAGTCTTTTCTTCTCCAAGCTACCCATTCCTTCAGCCTATCCTCATCTGACATGGACTCAAGACCCTTCATTATCCTGAGCTTTCTTCAGCCCATCAATGTATCTGCTAAAATACAGTATTCAAAACTGAAAACAATATTCCAGATGGAATCTGACCAGGGCAAAGCATATAATAGGCCTCTGCCTTTCATAGGCCCGGGTGCTCTGCTCTTAATGCAGGTTTTTCCAGCTGCCACATTACCCTATTGATTTATGTTGAACCTTCAGTTCACTAAGGAATCTCTATCAATCAGTCACCCAAATTAACACCCACATTTTTTAATGAAGAAGCTGAAATTCAGAAAGAAAATGATTTGTTCAAGGGCAGCCAGGTAAAGTCAGGATTCAAATCTAGGTTTCTAATGATAGAGCTATAATTAACAGAAACCCTGGCTAGCTTTTCTAATGTCACCAGGAAGACTTTTACAGCATTCACAGGACCCATTTCTCTTCCTACTCCGTATGTCTCCACCCCTCATTTAGGAAGTTAGTAAACGTATTTTGATAGAGTAGCTGTTCTGAAGTCTTATTTGTTTTCTCCCAAACCCACTGGTTTCATGGAGAACACTTAAAGGTTCCTGGATGAGTTATTTTGAACGACTGTTATTGGCTAACTTGGATTACTTATTGTTTTCCCTCAGTGAAAACCAGAATACTTTTACAGCCGTGATTCCATCCCTGGAGGGGGGGAAAGGCAGAGACAGGGCACGGATTATGGTTTGTAGGTGTGTCTGAGAGTCACTAAAGGACATAGAGGGAAAAAATAACTTGCCTGGGCTAGAATTTTCTGACCCCTGTGTCCTTAAGTCACTAAACCAGTTTTTGAAATTCCATTTAGAAAGCAGGTAAGCTTCCAAACGAGTGCCTGAGAATAAAGCTGGTGAGGCCAAAAAACAGGAGAGGGATGGTGGGAGAAGGTGGGCCGTCCCACCCAGGTAAATTGTGAACTGGGCAGTTTGCCTCTCTCTTATTCCTACCTGTTCCCCCCCTTCCCTCCTTGGACCTGATAAGTGTCCATGAAGTACTCCATACTGTCGACTTTTCCTCACTTCCATTTTGCCCAACAAAATTTGCCTGTCCTTCGTATTCTTCCTGTCTATTCTCTATTTCATAATAATGGGCTAAATCTAATGAGAAGAAGGGCGTTAAGGTGAAAGAAGCATGTACTAAGGCATACTGTGTGCCAAGCACTTTACAGATACTATCTCATTTGAGCTCACAACTACCTACCTGGAAGGCAGGTACTGTTATTATCCCCACTTCACAGTTGAGAAAATTGAGGAAGTCAGAGGTTGCATGACTGGTCCTACAGCTAAAGTATCTTGAAGCCAGACTCAAGTCTTCCTGAATTCAAGTCCCAGTGTTCTATTAACTGCAGCACCTAGCTGGCTTTCGTGGATGTGTGCCCCTCATAAAAGAGTATCTCTGTGTTCCTTAGGAATCTTAAAAAAAAAAAAATTTCAGATGATCATCAAAAGAGCTGGAAGAGACCAGATAGATCATCTGGACCAAACGGTTCAGAAAACTGAGATCCAGAGAAGTCAATGTCAAGGTCACACTGAGACTAGAACCTGGAAGTTCCTGATAATGTGCCATCCCACTAACAGGTCATTCTCTTCAGGGAGCATCACGTTTTAACGCTTTAAAAACGTATATGGTCTCCAGGATGCACCTCAACAGGGCATGTTGGAGTGTATGTGTGGCAGAGGTGGAGGAGGGGAGAACTTTGGGGTTCTAGGTAGGCAGGCCTTCAGCTACCCTTCAAATAATGCCTGAGAGGCAGCTGCCCAAAGTAGCCCTAAAGGAAGATGTGGCCAAAGGGAAGAAGTCACAGCCTCTCCTCTTCCTCTGGATAGTGATAGCTACTGAAGACAGAGAGTGTATCTGTGTTATGGAAAAGGTAGGCAGTTTCTCAAGCTCTTAGCAGCCTTTTCTCCTCCTGAAGTCTCTGGACCTTTGGGCCATTTGAGCTGAATGCAAGAAAAAAATCCTCAGAAAAAAGCTAGAGAGGTTAAAGGCTGGATCCTTTGTCTTCTGTTAGCCCACAAGCATTTATTAAGCACTTACTTTGTACCAGTCCCTGTGCCAAGCCCTGGGGAGGCAAAGAAATGCAAAAATATTTGCTGCCCTCACGGAGTCCAAAACAGGCAAACAAACTGTGTAAGTCTAAAGCCTTTGCAAACCTTAGAGCACTTTACATATGTAATTTAGAAGAAAAAAAAGCACTATGCAAATAAAATATTACTGATTATGCTAGTCATTATGTACATACTAGGTTTATAGAACAGGAGTGGAAGGTACTAACAGAGCAGGGAGATACAGGAAGGCCCAGTACAGAAGGTGGCCCCACATCTACTATGTCATGGGCGACCAACTGAATATACAATTGTCCCTTGTTTTCCAGCTGGTGGTAATGGCCATTACACAAAGACTGGGGAGTGATTCTTCCCAAAAGCAAGCTCTGAAGATAGAACCTTTCGTATAGGCTTAGGTCCAATCCAAGCAAGACCTAAAGGAATCCCTCCTCATTCCTTGCCTCGATGAGAAACTGAGAGATACCCTACAAAGTTCTGAGAGGGGATAAAAAGAGGGAGAAGAGGCCCAAATGCAAATATAATTAAACAGAAATGACAGCACAACCCATGTGTGTATTAATTACAGTCATTGAAGGAGAAAAACCCCAGCAGCAGCAATGAAACTTGACAAGTACCCAGACAAATTCAGAAGAGGACAGGGGGCCAATGAAATTAAATAGTTAAAATGCAATTAAAATTGAGTGCAGTTAAAATCTCTACATCTTTTACTGTGATATAGTTGAATTTTCAAGTTTTAATTATTTACTCCATAATTTTTCAATCATTCAGTCCTTTTTCAGTCATGCTTGGCTCTTTGTGATCCCATTTGGGGTTTTCTTGGCAAAGATACTGGAATGGTTTGCCATTTCCTTCTCTGGCTCATTTTACAGATGAGGAAACTAAGGCAAACAAGATTAAGTGATTTGCCCAGGGTCACACAGCTAGTAAGTATCTGAAGCCAGATTTGAACTCAAGAAGATGAGTCTTTCTGACTCCAGACCTGGCACTTTGTCTGCTGTACCATTCTATCCATTCCATATTTAGATTGTATTTATTGAGAGATGTTGAGTTTATAAAAATACCAACACTTTGAAATAAATCCATGGGTATAATGGTTTGGAGCAGAGAGCCCCGGACTAAGGAGCCAAAAGACCTGAGTTCTAATGCCTTCTCTGCCACTTAGCGACTATGTGACCTCAGGCCAGTCCCTTTTCCTTTTCTGGACCTCAGTTTCTTCCTCTATAAAGTGAGGAGATTGTACTAAATAAGATCTGAGGTCCCTTCCAACTCTACTTGTATCTTTACTTATACCAGGTGTGTGTGACACACACACACACACACACACACACACACACACACACACACCCATACTGGCTGAAGTCAGGGCCAGTGACACAATTGTCTTTTGTCTTTCTTGGGAGGAAGAGGCTTATAATGCATGGTGGAGGAGACCTGTCCTTAGGGGCACTGAGCATCCCCTGTGCTTGTACCTCTGTGCGATTTGGTCTGTGATCTATAATGTTAGCTGTTAATAGGCTTGAACATTATTAAACACAGAGTGAAGCAAAGAATGACTCCTGTTTTGTCATTTAATACCATGTGCTCATCATTGCTTATTTATTTTGATTACAGGTATTTGCGTATGTTGCCACTCTGATATACGTGATCCATGCAGTATTTTCTTTATTCAGATGGAAGGCATCCTAAAGTCCTGTGGAAGTTTACCCAAAAATCCAGAAGGTGTTAACTGATTGGCCATCCTCCCGGGGTAGCTTTTTAAAAGTCAGGGATGCTCAAATGGATCTCTGTTCTCTTGTACAAAGTGGAGGGTTGGGGTGGAAACCTATCTGTTTCTTGTTGGTGTTTGTCTTTACTGTCTCGCATAACTAACTGCATATAAGAAGTCAGGGGCTTGCTGTGTTTACTTCCAAGTATTGACTGCTTTTTCTCATCATGATTTCCTGTTTGTGAAGGACTGAACTCTGGGAGAAAGTAGATGACAAAATGAGGCTCCTCAGACCCCTTTGCTGGGTCCCGAGAACTATGACAGACATTTCCCCATGGCCACTTTTGATCTCACTCACTCACTATCCCACCCCATGGTTTTAGATCCTTAGGAGATCTTGCATGTGCTAGGGATCGAGTCCTCCCAACAGATTCTTTCTGGAGCCAACAGCAGAAGATGATGGATCAGCCATGAAAGGGGAGATGAGCCATGAAACAACATAGATATTGGGTGGCTACACAAGACGTATATACCGGGGATACAGCCTCTACATTCTTTAGTTTCTTTTCTGTAGGAAATATTTTCCAAACCAATTTTATTATAAAATTCTCCAGCCTCAACCAAGATTCCCAACCATGGTTTACATGAAATCCCTTGGTTATAATTGAATGGTGCCTCCCTCGACCCAGGAAAGTTCAGATAGCAGATCTGTATATTGGCATCATCCTGTGCCTCTCAGAGGAGTAGGATTCTGAGTAATTTTTTATGGTGTTCCAGCTGAGCATCTCCATAGAATGATGTTAGCCTTTGTCCAGTAAGAGCTTTTCAAGTATTTTGTTTTTATTTGCCAATGTCACTCCTCTACTTCCTCTGTGATTTTCAAAATGCCACCACTACCCATCAGTCAACCAACAGATACTTGTGGAGTGGCCACTGAAGGCCCGTCAACTGTTGGCAGTCATCTTACATGGTTGCAGAGTCTACCCGACAGCTCCTTTACTACAAGGCAAAATGAATTTTGCTATCCTACTAAAGTATTCTTTAAACCAGGACAAATTTATTCCAGATGGGCTATTTTGATTGCTTGTAAAAAAAAATCCACTCAAATACTGTCTTTAGAGAGTGGGCCATGTATTTTGTTCAGTAGATTTTCAAATATCAGTGACAACAATAAACTATTTTCAACAACTTGCTTGGATCATTCAGAGCATAAAAGGACTCAGACTTCAAGGTTCTGCTTCCCATGTGACAGATATGCCTTTCATGTTGCTATAAGGTGTTTTATGGAAAAGAGAAAAGAGATTGTTCAGAAATTCATAAGCACATTGGAAGCCTGCCACATACAGCTGGCCAAGCGGCTTCTGGGTCCTATCCCCGACACCCACACTCCCAAATGTGCTACTAGTCTTTCATGTTCTTACAGCTCTTCACAGTTCCCAAAGCCCTTTCACCCACCTCTCCATGGATCCTCATAATAACCCTGGTGGGAATTACTGTACCCATTTGACACTTGAGAAAATAGTGCTTGGGAGAGATGAAGGGATTTGTCCATTGTCCCATGGTCTCCATAAGGGAAAGAGCCATTATTGGAGCCCAGGGTTCTCAACACATAGGCTGCTTGTTTTGCTTCCTACCCTGCCAGTGACATGTATGACAATGACCAATTTTATATAATATTTTTAAATATGTGTGGTCCTTTATACCATCTCATTGGAGCCTTGCTACTGCCTTGTGAGGCAGGTATGCCAGGTGTTATTCCCACTTTACAGCTGAGGAAACTGAGGCTCTGAGATCAGTTGATTAATTGATTAGTTCCAGTTCAAAGGATAGTAAGGGTCTGAGAGGGGATGGGAACCCAGGTCTTCCCCACACCAAACCTAGCATACTATCCACTATCCCATCTTTCATATAAAGCAGAGTATTTTTATTTCTTAGAGGAGTGTTTTGTGACTTCCCTTTCAACACCAGCATGTATATGGAATTTTATTGTAGCTATATTGGAACGGTGGAAAAAGCACTAGTCCAAGGATCTGGGTTCAAATTTTATCTCTGATGCTTCCTACTTGGGTGAACTGGCATAAATCACTTCATTCCCTGAGGCTGAGGTTCCTCCTCAGAAATGATGGGATTAGACAAGACAATCTGAGGTTTCTTCCAGCTAGAAATCTGTAACCCTATAAACTGTGCACCAGGAAGTCAGGTGGCAGCCACCCTGCTGTCCTCCCATGGCATCTATTAATAGTGGTCAGGAGTTAAGTTTGTTCCACTGTTATCTAATTGATCTTAATGATGGTCACAGGCCCAGTACTTGGCAAAGGTAAGACAGAGAAGGTGCTTAATGTCTGGGCTCATGCTAGGCAGGGTAGAATTTTATGGCATTAAAAATATGTGCATTTTTTCAAAATAATGTTAAAAATTAACCCTCCCTGGATGTCACAAACACTCATGCTATACCCTAAGTAGTTGCAGACCTTTTCTCTTCCTAGTTCCCATGCTGATTGCTACCCTACACATAAAGGAACAACTCTCAGTATGACTTGATGCTTTTGAAATTTCTTCTGACCAAAAATATACCATACGCCCCCAGCCACGGAGTCCAAACTTCTCAAAAGAAGTTATTTCTTTAGGTTAAGGCCTTAAGGGACCATAGAATTATAGATTTAGGTCTGGAGAGGACCTCATAGAACATCTAAAAGAACCCTTTTATTTTACAGATTAAGAAACTGAGGTGGAGTGATTTGTTTGAGGTCACATACGCAATAAGTTGCAGAGGCAAGATTCGAACACAGGTTCTCTGATTCTAAATACAGTCTTCCATCCAATATATCATGTTACACAGAGAGGTGGCTTACATTAGCTTCCCAGTTACCTAGCAATGGGTCTGAATGAATGGGAGACACCTGGAAAAGGAAAGGCCTAATAGACAAATGGAGGACTCCTAGAAAGAATTACCCTGGTTAGACAAGCCCTTGCCCACAGGAGACAAAGAACACAGGAAGCCTCACCTTGATTTCCATGAGCCTGCCTAGAGCTGTCCTTGAGAGTCTGTGTTGGGAGGTGGGGAGACAGCTTGTCTTCCTAAACGAAGCCTTGGACAAAGCCCTGGTTGCTCGTGAGAGTTCTACTTGTGATGCTGCAATGCTCCTGACATCCTGCATTTCTGGTGATTTCAAATGTTGGAACCTGAAAGAAACTTAAAGATCTCCATGTCCAACCCCCTCATTTTACAGATGAGGGAACTGAGGGTCCAAGATAACAAGTGATACGCCCCAAGTCACACAGCTATTAAATGGTGGATACTGTACGCAAACCCAGGTTTTCTGAAGCCAAACTATCTACTTTATCATACTTCCTCATGACTTTTCTTCTGAATAAAAATAATGTGGCTCAGAGAGATTCTCCAGGAAAAGCCCACGTCCTTCCATATGCTACATTACTAGCAGTCAAGTCAGATCTCCAGCACCGATGGACCCCCATGATCCCTTGCAGTACCTGTCCTTGGGTCTTCTCCTAACCTGAATCTGGATGTAGGCTCCAGATTGCCCCACTGACAGTAGCCCAGGCTACATCTCTACTCTGCAGCTGATTCTGAACCTTCTTGGCCTCTTGATGGTTCCTTTACCCTTTTCAGGGATGGTGCAGTGGATAGAGTGCTGGGCCTGGAATCAGGAAGACTCATCTCCCGGAGTTCAAATCTGGCCTCAGACACTGTGTGACCCTGGGCAAGTCACTTAACCCTATTCGCCTCAGTTTCCTCATCTGTAAAATGACCTGGAGAAGGAAGTGGCAAACCATTCCAGTGTCTTTGCCAAGAAAACTCCAAAAGGCATTACAAAGACTCAGAAAGGACTGAACAATAAGAGGGCCTTTTTGACCCTAGATCTATGATTCAAGAAACCCCTTCAACAGCACTTATGTATATTCAGTGCTTAGGAAGTCCCTGGAACACAGTAGTACTTAATAAATGCTTATTAACTAAGTGCCTACTCAATGCAACTCATCTACTAAGACCTGTGAATTCAAAGATAATTCCAAGCTCCTGCCCACAGGTGCTTCCAGTTCGATAAGGGTAATCAGACGTATACTAGATAAGTGTCACCTATAATAAGTGGTCTTAACCACTTCCTTGGATTCCACCTTAGTCTCTTAGATGGCTCATTACTGCACATTCCCAAGGGAATGAGTGGGCTTCCAGAACCTTGCCACAATTTTATAAGACCAAAATATTTTGAGTGTATGTTAAAAGTAACATAAGCGTAAATTCCATCAAGAAGGCAGGGGTACTTTGTCCTACGCATGTTCCTAAATAGGCCCTTTCTTGGGATAAAAATCACATGCACAGTGATGCCTCACCAAGGAGGCAGGGTGTTGGGTATTACACCTTAGTGAACAGAAAACTCTTGCCTAGATGATGGGGTGATCAGTCACTTCTATTCCAAAGTCTACACTACAGTAAAAAAAAATGCTGTGTTCCTTTCAGCACAGAATAAAGCAGCATACACATGCTTAGGTGCCCATGGTTTACTTTAATTCAGGACACAAGGATCCGTGCTACATCAGTGGTCAGTCCTTAATTAAGAGAAGCAGTGGTTGCCTCTGGCCATCTCACCTTCCTCCCTTCCCTAGGATATGCCTCAAATTAAGTACCTTTCATTTGCCTGAGTTAAAACATATCAAATAGGGGCAGCTAGGTGGTGCGGTAGATAGAGCATTAGCCTTGGAGTCAGGAGGACCTGAGTTCAAATCTGGATTGAGACAGTTACTAGCTATGTAACCCCTCAAGTCACTTAACCCCAGTTGCCTAAGAAAAAAAAAAAAAGCTTAGGGCAACTAGAGGGTGCAGTGGATAGAGCACCAGCCCCAAAGTCAGGAGGACCTGAGTTCAGATCTGGCCTCAGACCAAAAACTTGACATGTGCTAGCTGTGTGACCCTGGGCAAGTCACTTAACCCCAATTGCCTTAAAAAAAAACAAAACCAAAATATATCAAATAAAAGCCTGTTGCTTTGAACATCATTGGCCTATTTGCTGCTTCTTTGGAAATCTCTACATACCAAAAATAACTGCCCAAAACAAAAGAAACAGGCATAGTGGAGTCTTTCAGCATGGAAACTGGTTCAAAGGGCAAGAAGAGGGGCTGGTCCAGATGGTGGCTGTCTTTACAAACATCATACCCTGCACACAATATGGGAAC